ATGTTTAAGGTTCTAACGCTCCAACGCGTCTCACCCAACATGGAAAAATTTATTACCATTATTTTAGAAACAACAAACAAGGTTTATTTGCCTAAGTACAGGTACATTGGAATGCTTCACTTCGTCGACCCCGTCTCGCTCTCCAGAGCTCAGGGGTCACAGCACAGGGTCAGCCAGCATGCGGCACCCATGGAGCTGGGGGTTAAGGGCCTCGCTCAAGGGCCCACAGACATGCGGCTATTCCACTGTGGCTGGGGCTCAAACCGGCAATCTACTGATCACAGGCACAGAGACTTAACTTACTGAGCTGCTCACTGTATAGTCTAATTTAATAATATCAACAAAGAGAATTTAATAAACACAATTCCTTTATTTTTACTTTACTGTGCAAAGAACAGAATACACGAATACAGCAGATTTGTCGTTGCAATGTGCTATGTAATTAGCTGTCTCTAGGGAGGCCCCTCCCAGCCCAGGAGCCCCTGTTCCTACATCTCTGGATATCACCACTCCGTGTGATGGTGGGGAATCCTGGTTCACCCACTGTCAGGTGATCTACTTCTGGAATCCTTTTTGTCCACCTTCCTAACAGCACTGCAACTCATCTTGGCTGTTGCTGAGACGACTGCCCACATTTCCCATATTGTGGTCTGTCCATTGGTAATCAGCCCAGCTGAAAGGAGAACAGCAACAAGGCTTCAAACCAGGCAAAATGTCAGCAGTATAAGGAATTACTGAAATGCAGTCCCATTCATCAAGCTCAGGAACTCTTCAAACACAGGAACTGATAATTGCTATCAATAAACCATACAGTGTCTGGCCACTTCTGCTTGAGTCACATGGAGTCACCTGAACGATCACGTGCCAAGTGGTCAAATGACCAGTAAGAGAACTGAAGTGAAAAACTTTTTAAATGTATTGTTGGTTTGTAACCTACGTTTTATTTTGTTCAGTCCTAAGAAATAGTACGATTCAAAGGGCCCTTCAGTGACAGATGGCCTAAAAAATGCTTTCATGAACCCCAAAGTCTCTAGCAATGCTCCAGATTCTACCTACTCCTTAAATATAATCCATAAATGTAGTGAACTTTATTTAGATTATTTACTTTAAATGACTCTAACCTCTCAACATGGCACACTTTACCCAGTAATAATGTTCCTCTTTCATTAAAGGTTATAAAATACAGACACACAAATACACCAGATGCATAAGTATTTAATAAACTAATATGCATTTTAGAATTGAATTAAATTATTAATGTTGATGCCTGCAATCTGTATATGTACCAGCATCAAACACCGATTCTCAGCCCTTGCTTGATGCGAACGCATGTATAGAAATCACTTTCAATATCAAGGCATTCAAAAATCAAGAACGGTTCTAGAACACTAACGATTGCGGCCCTTTGTTGCCATCTAGTGTAGAAACCCAAAATTGAAACGATAACCCGGTAGACAATTCATAGATACAGCTGTATAAAGGTACATAATCATTTGTGTATTCCATCCATTCGTTTTTTAAGCCCGCTCGTCCTATGCAGAGTCGCGGGGGGCGCCAACCCATCGTTCATATATTACTATATGAAATTATAAAAAACTGTGTAACAACGACAGTGAGCAAATTTCGTCGTATAATAAAGGTGGGTATTTTCAAAGGGTGAAGGCTATAGTGTTTGTGTGTGTGTGTGCGCGCGCACACACACACACACATACGGCATAACCTTCAATATGAGAGTCCCGGGCATCTTATCTTCATATGACTTTTTACTTCAGTAGGGTCTCCAAACCTACATCACAAAAGCAGCGAATTACCTCGTCCAAACATACTTATTAGGTTTATGCGATTTCACTCAGAGGAGTCAATGTCTCCACTGACCACAACGGGGCAGTAGAAAGAACTGTGTTGATAAGACCGTATTTTATTTTTTTTTGGTAAATCTGTCAGTCATACTCGCTGGACAAAGAAACAACAAATGGATGAATGCGGCTTGAAACTGGGCAAATTGAAGCATTTCATTACTCAGTTTCTGAACATGCTTGGTGTGTGTATGCATACATAAAGTCGTGGCCAAAAGTTTTGAGAATGACACAAGTGTTGGTTTTCACAAAGTTTGCTGCTTCAGTGTTTGTAGATCTTTTTGTCAGATGTTTCTATGGGATATTGAAGTATAATTACAAGCATTTCATAAATGTCAAAGGCTTTTATTGACAATTAAGTTTATGCAAAGAGTCAATATTTTCAGTGTTGGCCCTTCTTTTTCAAGACCTCTGCAATTCACCCTGACATGCTGTCAGTCAACTTCTGGGCCAAATCCTGACTGATCACAGCCTATTCTTCCAATGTTAGGAGTTTGTCAGAATTCGTGGGTTTCATTATAAGCATTTTATCACCAGTGGTGTTATATCACTTTGTGACACTGCTAAGTAGTTGTTTATGCAAAAGGAAAAACATTTTTGTTAGTCATGAAAATGTTCTGTTAAGAGAGAGCCCATGTATAACGTAACATAATACCGTGGCATTGAAATTTTTCTCGTGTTTCACATATTTAACACAGCAGAAGCACACTGTGGTAATAATGTCCAGGACAGTGTCAGCAGCTGTTTTATTGGCATGGGCGTAACATTTTAAAACTTAATTAGTGCACAAATAAGAAATTTTAGGTTTTTAAGGATTAATGTAAGATTCAGAACAAAAAATTCACGCAGCACTTTTCGTTCACGACTCCAGTCATAGTCAAAATAATGTAAAATTGTTCGCAACATTCAGCAAGTCCCCTAGTAACCAATTTGAAACCTGCGATGGTCATTAATGTAGGATCCCAGTTCTGTAAGCATCGCAATATTTGTTGCATTTTTTTTCGTTAGTCATACAGGACATCGCATTCTTTAAAACTCATATTTAATTTATTTTTTTTACAACTTTTCTCCGTCCGCTGCTTCTCGACATGGCCAGCTGAGGTGTCGATGACTCACTGACTCGCCTCACAAGTTATGCAAGCGTCTGATAGGGCCAGGGCATTATGCAAGAATCACATGTGTAATTTTAACTCTGCTTTTGACACATCGAATGACACATTAAAATTCAGGAAGGATAAAATGTAACCAGCACCATTTTGTGCGCCAATCCATTTTTTAAACAACAGGTTGTGATCTGTTTGGATTAGAGATATGCCCTTAAACTCTCATATATATGTATATTCTCTGTGGCTTCTAAAGCGATGGTCCATTAACATTGTTTTTAACTGCTGATGTTTAAGTGTTGAAGCACAGGCTCTTCAAAATGAATGAATATAACTATTTGTTGAGTTGTCGACCGCAAAGTGGTTATATGTTTTGAGATTGAATTACATCCACAAATAGGTTTTTGTCATAAACTGGCAAACTGTTGAATTTAATAAATCCTGGATACTGTCATTGCCTGCAAGCGCCAGACTTACATTTAATCAGAATACTTCCAGAAGTTTCCAGCAATAACAAACACCCATTAACTGAGACTCAAATCCCATTAATTTCATCGGTCCTAACCTACTAAATATATCTAAATAATAATAATAAAAATATATTATTTATAAGCTACACGTGTTTTGTTTGTTTTCCGGTAAAAGTTATATATTTCTCTGCACCAAGTTCACGAGTTTTGCCATAAAGCATCAAGTCCGGATTAAGAATTCAGAAACGGATCCTGTGCCGCGTCTCTAGGGATTTGTACTTACCAGTGCAGGTAAGTTTGTTTCAGCGACAATATATTCCAGTTTCTATAAACCGAATAAATTATACACCTTGGGGTTGTTGTGCCGTGTTCATATGCATTAATATTAATATAAATCGCTTGCATGCTTGTTGTGTCTTTCAGAGTGTTGCAAGCATGATTTTTGTATAGACAATAGTGAATTGATATGTGTAACTATCTAATGCCCTTGGTTCTACACTGAAGTCCCTTTGATGGAGAATTTATTGTTTTATTCAGGGATACTTGCGAGGTGAAGGGATACTGGTTATCCCACTGCACTGCAAGGTGAAGGGATACTGGTTATCCCACTGCACTGCGAGGTGAAGGGATACTGGTTATCCCACTGCACTGCGAGGTATTCTTTCCTCTCCTTCATTTTGTGTTTCTGTGGCTGAGTCTCCAGATGCCCGCCTACTTTGCCTGCCCTGCTGCGTTTGCCCCCCCCCGCCCTCAGCCACCTGTGGTTTCAGTACATTTGTCTGCCCCGGCTTTGCAGGCCTTTCCCCCCCGGTGCATCGCGGACCATAAATCACTCCCTGTCTGTGCTGACCTTAGGGCCGTTTAGAAACCAACACCAGCTCTCACACCTCCAAAGAAAAAAATAAATCAACACCACTACAGGATTTCATGGGATTCTGCACTTAGTGGCCAGCTGGGATGGGGGCAGGGGGGGGACGTACAGCTGTCGATTAGGTGGAATGCAGCACACCTCCTGTCTCATGTCCCTCATCCTCGCATTTAAATGAAAATCCCTCCCCTTTGAGTGCAGTCATACTGTTCATCATTAATGTACTATAGCTGTCCTTTCTCGGGTTTCCGCGTGGGAGACAACACACATCCCCCTGACTCAATTTGTATGTCTAATTCCGGAAAATGCTCCTTCCATATATCCTACCCATTCCCAAGATGAGGAAAAGGAGGAAGACGAGGCAGCCAGAAATACACACGGCATGGGTGCCCACGGGACGGCTGGGAAGGCGTAGCCCCGGGGAGCGTTTCCACTCTGCTACCTGCGATCTCGCACAACAGCTGGGATATGGAAGGTGCAAATACAGGACGAATATGACTAAAGCATGATTAAAGTGCCTCTCGGAAACTGGGTTGCGGTCTCACACGCTTTCCTTTCTTTGCACTTCCGTGAAAGCGGAATTACTTTATCGTGCCTAATATTTCCCAGAGCACACAAACAAAAGAAAAATGAAACACATGCAAACAAAAAATTAAACGAATCTCGTGGCGCACTGGAAAGATGTTACATTTTTATTTCATAAGCAAACAAGGCAACACACAATATTAGTTCTTATCTATGCATTTTATCATCCGCAAATTCAAGTCGGGGCAATATACTCGTTTGCAACTTGTTCCTCATAAATTCAGATGTGATCCTAATGATGAGGAAGGAAGACTGGAGTTTGTTGTCCCCACACTGGGGAGAAGCAGACCAGTTTAAAACAAGAAGGTGCCCTGAGGGCTGACCGCAGGCCTGATTAATTTGGTCGACCCCAAGTGGAAAAGGGGGCAAGGTGAGTGCAGTGATTAAGGGATGTTTCCTTTTGGTATCAGGGCTGCCCCTAAGGGTGGAGAAAGGGGAAGACTTGTAGGAGCTCAGACACTAGGGGGAGCCGATGAGTATGTGGTAGCTTTAGTTTGGTAGGGGGGGGGCATTCAGTAGAATTTTTCAGGGGCCCAGCCGGGCCTTTGTGCAGCCCTGCTCTGCATCCCACAAGGGTGACACTTGAGGAAGTTGCAGAAATCACCACCGAGTTCATTTTTCATCTCCTGCCGCTTTCGCTCCACAAACTTCCCCTCTGTGGCTTGTCCCCCCTCCCCAAATGCACCGGAGATGGAAAAAAATGAAAGAAGAGGAAGAACGACGAGAAGAGGGACAGAGGATATTTACTGAAGGGGTTGAAGACTGCAGACAGACGGAGTGGCACGAATGGCTAGCTTGGAGACATGGTTAGAGTATTTACATCGGTCCGAGCAAGAAAAAAAACTAGAAAAGAGAATATGCAGATTTAATTTACAATAGAATATTTAAAGAAAATGACCACATCTGGGAAAACTGGCAACAAAAAGCTACCACAATAATGCACTTATTAAAAACAAATTAATGACTATACTTTGCACACGTGAATAAGCTAAAAGGACAAAGAAATGGAAATGGGTTCATATCTCACCAGGCAATAAGTATGTAGGGATAATATAATGATTCTTATACTTTAAAATGGAATCAGAGAAATTGAAACATCAACTTATGAGAAAATCTGTTTCAGCTGTAAAGGAGCTGTGAATGAATCATGCTTAATGTAGCCCTCAAACGTGCTCTGAAGAGGAGACTGAAACACCTACATTCGTTTCACAACCTTTTCTTAGCTAAAAATAAGGATCTTTTCCTCTATGTTTATATTTTGTTATCTCATGGCGTGAATTACTCAAAACTATAGATAGGTTGGTCGGAGTAAATACCAAGTAATTCAGTAAAGGTGGAGTAAAATAGAGAGAGCCAGGAGGGTGTCTGTACATCTCTCTGGCAGCGTCCCTCACATTCATCTCTTCTTGGAACGCGTCAGGTACGCCTGGTAAATGTCGGATTTCAGGAATCTTGGGTAACAGTCCTTCGCCATCAGACCATATATTAATCGTTGTGCCGTATCAAAGGAAGTGAGGCTTGGTTGGGAAATATTTTGTGTTATATTTTCTCTGGTTCCACAGTCAATATTAATCTGTAAAGAGGAAATAACCATTACACTTCAGTATATAGCTGCATTGTATTCTTTACTGTGACACTATTTATCCATCCATCCATCCATCCATCCATCCATCCATCCATCCATCCATCCATTCATGCAACCATTTATCTGTCACAGAATTTTTCTTATTTGTAGATGGAAAAGAAATCTGTGCATATTTAAAAAAAAATTGTAAAGGGTTTCTACCTGTCTTGGGGCCTCTGTTTGTACATATTCAGTGTAGATCATGTTTGCAGTAGAAATCATCTCGGGAGTGGATTTAATTTTCTTATAATCCTCACAGGCTAACCAAAACAAGATGTTCTCCTCACTGTACTCAGTCTTCAGGAACTCCCGGAAAGCCATCTGACCAGCTACACCAAAACAGTGAATTTGATGTTAATGACGGCTGATGCGACCGCAAGCCTGTACCAACACTCACACCAACACTCACACCAACACTGGGCCCCCGTGTGCCATTTTATTCAGAGTTGCTAGGAGAAGCTTCTCTGCAAACTTAAAAATACTGGCAAAAACGGCAACTCATTTTTAGACACAAACAATAAAGCACACATCATTTTAGTTTGTTTATAATTTGCATATAATAAATTACTTCAAAGAAGGCCTTTAAAGAATCTAGCTATGCTGTAACATTTTCCATGGATTTGAAACATTTAAAGTATAACATAACAAGAATCTATACCTAATCTATTGCCTAAATACATTATTGGTCTTTGAAGTATTATATTTAATATAGGCTGATAAATCAGTGTTTTAGTATCATTATGTATTATTTTAAGTAGCACAAATTAAATTATGTTTCATATTGGAAAATAGGACTATACTGATCAAGAACTGAAAATGTACAAAAACTGAGATGAGATGGTCAAAAACATTATCAGCCCGAGATGAGATTAGAATTCTCAGTCTCTTCATGGCTCCAGATTTCAGAAACATTTATGAAATGTCACCCATCTAAAAGTATCCATTAAAACTAAGATTAATCACGATGATCTGTTACACACAAAGAATGAATAATACAAAACAGCAGCTGTGGTCAGCAGGGACGTTTGTAAAGGTGTCCTTACATTTACATTCCAAAAGTTTGTCCACGGACTCTTCCCAACAGCCAGCGTCATCCAGAGGCTCCCTGGCAAAGCAACAAAATCTACCCTTGAAAATAGCATTGAGATCTTTTACGAGTGAAAGCGGCAGTGATATTTCTGGTGACCTAGCGCCTGCTTCTGTGATTGCGCTGTTCTTTATGATATTACACGCTTGGTGCTGCTGGCAAACCTTTCATGTCGGAATATACGCTACCCGAATTATAATTCCAGAGCAAAGTCTAAACATCAAGAATGATGTGAGCAGGGTGAAGTTTAATACATTTCATATATATTTATTTTAAAAAGATTGCCTACTGATTCTTGCCACATTTAAGAAACTGAAGCTTTCATAAAAGAAGGCGTGACACGTGAAACAGACTGTACTCAGCTATACAGATAAAATCTCGAATTATAATAGTGACTTACACAATACTATGATTAGTCAGAAAAACAGATTGCTTAATTTGAAATTTAAAAAGAAACTCACTTTATTGCCATGCCTGTTTCCTTTGTCTTCCAATTGCTCCTGTAAATCTAAAATTGAAATTGATTATGGGGTTGGGAGATCAAGTGCACTGACTGACCTGAGCTTGTTTGTTTGTTGAAAACAACACATGGAAATTAGTATGCAAAATATCGTTGGTTCATCCTAACCTTTCCCTCCTTCCTTTTCTGGCAGCTCTGATGAACCTTCGACAGAATATTTGGCTGTGATTTCATTTGCATTCATCACAATGGGAGTAATAGAATGTTCTCCTGACTCGTTCATATTTCACTGAAGATAAACATAAAGCCACAAATAAGATAAACAAGCAGTTAAACCATACGGTTATAAATATACGGCGTCAAGGGCAATTAATTGCTTCTGCACATCATAATTGATTAATCTCACTAAGTAAGCAAAATTTTTCACAGGTGAAATTGATATTGACAGATGCAGAAATAAATTTCAATTACCTCAGCTGGAGAACAATTTCTTCAATAGAATACAGAAAAATTATGATTATGTTTTTGGCATACAAAATGGTGGACGTTCACTTCTAAATACCTACTTTACATCTGGAAATAACAGACATTTCGCATGATATTTGACACCATAAATAAAAGTGAAAATACACAATGAACAAAAGCCAATATATCTCACTGGCTGTTTTTGTAGAAGTGGTAGAATCTAATTTTTTTGACAAAAGCAGAATAAAATTCATGAAAGAGCTGAAGCATGCTTACATCTGGCAAGAACAAGCCTTCACTGTTTGGACTATGTTTTTTTGTTTTGGAAAGGGAAAGGTCAGAGAAGGTTGTCCAGTTCGAAGGCACTGATGTTATACAATATTCAACAAAAACAACTTCAACAAAAAGTGGAATAAAATAATGAAACAATCCAGTGGAATAGGAAGCTGAGTTCTTAATAAATCTGTCTCATTAAATATTAGTCTATCCACACATAGTCTTACATTGTGGGGATGAAATACATTAGCTTTCCCTATACTTAAACAACCAGTCAGTCACTCTTTAATATGGTATAAATGCAGGGATATCTTTTTGTATGTCACATTTTGAGTTAATCTCATCATACAGTGGGAGGTTAATTGCAACATATAATCCTAACATACATTTAATCTCTAAGTATTTTATCATGCGCATTTTTGACATCCACAATTCTGCAAATTTCTGGTTATTAGCTAATCCATTTTTTTCTTACTTTTGATCAAAAACTCCTGTTTAGTGCTGCTTCAGTAGATAGAGAAAGCAAAGTAATTTTCACACACTTGACATTTCTTCTTGTTTCAATTTCATAGTACAGTACTAGAAAAGAAAACCCAGACTGTAATATCCAATTTTCTTGATATTCACAATTTGCAATAGAAAGACATAATGCATGTGCTGTTATGAATCTAAGTTTGAGTTTCCCATTTAAGGGATTATCCCATTTTACAGGTAGTAAGTGCAATTTTTTTTTATATTATTCCAATCAGGATGTTTTTCAATTTAACTGTGATAAATATTTTCCCTGCATGGAAAGGAAGTCTTATTTTTTCAGTTTTGCTTAAGAGGAAACCGTGAACTGCTTAAGAAAATGACTGAGGACAGGACAAAAGGCTGCGTTCCGCGCTGGCAGCCGCCAGCGGGACCACCTGTCCGTACTGATCACGCTAAAACCGATTCCCCCTTTTCCTATTCGGACGCATGTGGCCATGAGCACGAATGGAAAATGGAAATGGCACCAGGTGATGTAAAATGCGGCGGCGGTCTCCATTTGCATCGGTAATGAAAAACAAGGCAGGCGATTTGATTTTCAAAGAGATTCTGTCACACATTTTCATGGTGTACGAGTCCTTACTTATGCCTTTGTGCGGCCTGTCTTCCAGCTGTATTCCCAAAACGCCACAAAACATGTTTATACGGTTAAGCTTTTCCACTCACATTTGTCCGTCTGTATATTTAAACTCATTCCTTTCTTTTGTTCTGTTTTTGTCATTGTTTGCCACACATTGCTGGCAATGAATGGCGAGTTGACAAACATTCTTGTTAGATTCAGTTAAGCCAACAGAGAAATAACACGGCCATCCATGCTCCTTACAAATGCGAGGGAAGAGCCGCTCAGCCAAATACAAACTGAAACACAAACATTACACACTGCCCAGTCTTCCCACTATTCACAGCCAGATGGAAATTACAGGGGAAAATTCATTTAAAGCAGGCGAGGTTTACCGGAACATAACTAAAGTAGCTCAGTCTATATATTTTTGCTGGGAAGTTGGTACAAAGGTACAGCAAGCAAACTTAACAGAATAACTATGTTTGGCATATCTGCAAATGAAGACATAGATGACGGACAGTAAAAAGGCACCAAAACACGGATTTGGGCCGGGTCAAACAAGAAACGTGCAACAGCACTGCAGGGAAAACTCTAAATAAAACGGCAAATGTCGTCACAAAAGCTGGATTTCAGATGCCTCCTCATGTTATTAAATTACACAGGTAGCAGGTAGATCTGCGCTGCAAAGACAGGACTGCATTCTGCAAAATAAAAAATTTAAAAACTGAAGTGCCAACTGCACTCCTGCCATGAAAAGATGTTATAAAAAGAACATTAAGAAAGATTTATTACTTTCAAAATTAGCTGTGATACTCTGAAGACAGAAATTATATGTGAAATTAAATTGGACAGTGGTAATGGAGGTACAACATAATAATAATTAAAACCATCTAAATCACTGTCCAATGATCAAAATTACTATTATCTTAAAACATATTTCATGTTGATGCTTTGAGAAAGTTCATTGTAGTGGTTTCAAAAGTTCTAAAATTCAAGATATATCTTGAAAATGCTGTGCATTTTTATTCCATTAACTGGAGTGTGTGCTTATATGCCTTATACAATTATAATGAAATAAAAATCAGACCCACTCATCTTAACAACCGTAAAAATTGTCGTGAAATAATTGCACCAATCTTTCCAGCCAGTAGTCAGATTCTCAACGTACAAAATTGAAATCAAGATGCATGTGAGTTCAACTCGGGCAGGTGAAATAGGATTTTGAAAGCTCTCTCCAAACGATTATTTTGGAGAGTTGTATAAAGCTACATAAAATCAGAGCATTAGATCATAATTGCTGCTGTTAGATTTCGTTTCGTAGTCTGCAGAATTGTGGTCGAAGTTCACTGTGGTTTTCAGCATGACGCTAGTCTTTTCTTGATGGTCAGTGAGGATAATTTCTCTGAATTTACTCTTGGATGCAGTAATGCTAAAATACGTGTGATCTCAACATGAACTCAAACATTGTATTACAGACTTGGTTAAGCTCCTCCATCCATCCATCCATCCATCCATCCATCCATCCATTGATTTTCTGTAACTGCATAACCTATTCAGGGTTGCAGGGGGTCCGGAGCCCACCCTGATAACACCCAAGGGGCGCGCAGCCACCCCATCGCAGGGTTATGCTCTTACAATGAGAAATTAGTGAGTTTGTAGTTCAGTTTCTAATCTAATAATATTCACAGTCAGGTCCATTTTCACATTACGATTATCTTAATAACAAAATGAAGAAAAAAAAATGTAATACACTTAAAACATTAATTTAGGTGTGGTTCAGAATTATGCCACGTGTGTGTATACTGAAGGTCTATTTCTGTTCAATAGCAAAACAAGGCATGATTCTATACAAAAACAGACTGTAGGGTAATCATTACATATGTACATGAGTAGTAAGCATCGCCATCTCTGTGGCGTTTAAGGGCACCAGCCGCTAAGCTGTTATTGTAGTCTGGAGACACGCTAATTGGCGCACATTGAATAGGTGCAGCAGAGGCGTCATGCATATTGTCCAGCCCGCTACGCATCGTGCCTGCCTGGCTGACGCACGTCATGTTACCATTGCCATGACGATTTATAAGTGTGTGTAAAGGCGATTTTAAGAAGCCTGAGCTCGGGGGGTTATTAATAGGAGGGAAGGGGGGTCTGTATGAATGCATGACTGATACAGTGATAGGATAGGATGATTACTTTTTTAATCGACTTCCCTTTTGAGCAGAATGGTAAACAGGTTTCTAGACCTCATTAGCATTTTCACTGCCTCAATAAAACAGCAGAGATTTAAGATTTACATAATTCATTATGACCATTATAAACACGGTCAGATTCTATTACATCACAGATTTAATGAATCTCCTCCCCAATGCATTCAGTGAAGTAGATGTTTATTTTACCCTAAAGCTGATGCTGCCTTTGTTTCAGCTCCCCTAACGCGGATAGATCGAGCCACATAGTGTCAGTCTAACATAAGGAGTTCAGCGCGGAGCACCGACAGCAGCCACCGGGTGGCGCTGTGTCTCTTCTTAGCACCTTGTCACTTCGTCGCACTGCTGTGGGGCTCAGAATGATTCCTCCATTTGCTGTGGGGATGATTCCTTTATTTAGGCGGCAATATGTGCATTATACCGCATGCTTTCAAACGGAGGGAAGCAGAAGCAGGTAGATGCTGAACGTGTAGGGCGGCAGTGCTGGGCGAAAATGCCGTCTAACCGAGACAATAAGACAAAGAAGAGGAGCAGTTCTTCATAGATCCTAGTGATCTTTTGATTTATCTCGATGGACTGGGTTCAGACGTAGAAAAAAAAGAGATCAGCCGCAAAAGATAAGAAGCAGATCGACTTGCTTTATTGGTGCAAGTGCTGCAAAAAAAAAAGTGAAACACATCCGTCGTTCAGGCTCGTTAGCAAACCAAAAGCGTGAAGATGGTTAGTGTGTCAAACCATCTGACACGAAAAGGATGATAAAAATTCAGGAAAAGACCATGCTTGCTTTTTTATAATAAAAATGACTAATGGGAGCCAAGTCTTATATTGTGCATTTTCCCCGCTGGTATTACGCTTAACAAATCCGAAACGCTGGGGGCTCCGGCTTTCAAACACGCTTGGATTTCTCTAATTGCTCCTCTCCCCACGGTAACCCAATTTAATTTCTTTCAAATAGATATTAATAAGAACGAAAGAGAAAACACGGCCATCTTATATCTTTAAAATCCCCCCAAGAAATGTTACGAGATGCGCGGCGTTTTGCTGGCGTAAGCAGGAGGCTGCCTGGGCATTTACATCTGTGGCATTTAGATTCAAAACTTTAATGCCTTTAAAACCAAATTCATTTGTGTTACATTGATATGGTTTATGAAGGGAAAGCAAGTGAATTCGGAAGGTGCGAAACATAATTGCCTTAAAAATTACTTTAAATCTTAATAGCCTATTTTAGTGATGTTTCCTGGGGCTACCCTAGACAATTGCATTGCAGAGAAGTTAACAGGTTTTGGGGAAAAAAACGAAATCCGTCTGACATACAGGATATTCATAACAGCATTAGCCTTTTAGCAAATTCTGATCGGAGTGGAGCGATTCACAGCGAACTGTGATTTCTCTTGCCGGTATCAGAAACACTTTCTGAAGACTTCCAGGCCCTGAAGGTGCTGGCGTGTAACCTTTTCATTACAGGCTTCTCCAACTGCCATTTCTATGGAATGTGAGAAAGGAATCAGCCACTTGAAACGTATTCTGTATGGAAGTCTGGGTAAAAAAAAATAAGTGCTGTGGACACTTTCAGACATAAGCCAGCATTTGAGCACTGCAATGAGGGACAAATGCATCCCATCACCTACCAAAGACAAGCTGCTTTATTTTCTTTTCTGCGCTAAGATGAATTATAGTTTAAAGCTAAGCATGCTTCCTGTAAATACAGAGGCCCCCTTTCTCACTCCTGCCACCCAAACCATCCGGTTAATGTGTATAGTGTCACACCAGTATCATAAATGGCCATATAGACTGCATTCCCTTCAGTGCAGATTCTGCCATTAAAAACACGACATACACACATAAGCGATGGATGCAGCTGCTTTTCAGTCCCAGACAGGCCTCGCCGCAACCTCCGTCAAGGCAAGTGAAGTAAATTGAAACCTTGCAGTGACTGTGACATGCAAAACACTCAGAGCTTGGCGTCTCCAGTCACCCTGTCTGTGTGGAAAATAGCTATAACACTAACCCCCCCAGCGGAAGAGCAAAGGCTCACTCTTGTCACAGAGAAAACCATCTAAATCCCCAATCATATCTCACAACACACTATAATCTTTCCCAACAGGGCTTTCTCAATGTCAGGAGATGTCCTATATATTAGCACTAAGCTTATTCCATACACACTGATCCTTTTGCAAAAATATTTTTTCCTCCCATATAAGAATGATCTTAAAATGATGATTGTTATACATCTTAATGTGACCCGCATTTCGTCCGAGTCCAGTCAGCATTTCCAGTGGACATGCCCAATGAGACCTTTCCTCTGGACCGTCTGTCACCTGACCACAATACTTGGATCTCGCTTTGGATCTGTTGTTCTAGACCTCGATTCATCAAACCACAACGGTGCATTTCGATCTCCGATCTCAGTAATGGTACAAAAATCAAATCCCGCATAAATTTTTTGTCCCTGTGATCCCGACCGGCACGAATCGTTAGAACAAGGATGGATGAATCAGTGCATCTTTTGATTGACTCTTAGTAGGTGAAATGAACTCAAATATCATAATTTTTCACCAAAACTCCTATGAGAAAGCCATGGCAGTCTGAGAACTGTGTGACATAATGAATTTAGAAAAACCGAGCTTTATCTGGGAGACGTCCGTGCTCGAGGGTGTGCGTGACAGCAGAGAAAGGTAGGCAGGGATGGGATACACACACAAGTCTCACCAGTAAGTACCGGTGAGAGGAATCAGCGAATGCAGGGTGTATCATCTGACTCACCCACCTGAGATGAACCAGGCCCCCCCCCCAACTTAATCCCATTTTCACACTCATACAGAACAGGATGGGTAGTTCCAAAACGGTAACAACATTGTAGCTATTTTTCAGTAAGCCCTGATACAATTTTATAATTAATAACTTTACATGCAGTGTGATTGCAATCAGTACGATCGAGAAGAAGGGTAATTGCATTCCATTGTACACTCCAAGGAATGAACCCACACAAATCACATTTAAGTCTCAAGAGATTAATGATCATTAGTGGAGACAAATGAAGAAGCCAACAGCTCTTAAAATTAAATATATTTTTCTTTTTTTGTGGCAAACGTAAGATGATTACTCATTATATGTTGTTCTGCTTTCTGATTGAGTAGGAGAACATTATTAAAAACGATCGAGCACAAGTTGCATTCACTTCCGTATATTTTAGGTGAACCTCACATGCGTAATATATATTTTAGAAAACAAACGCTGGTGGTGCAGCCTAATCAATATGCATACCACACAATGAAAACAGATGACATGTTATCTACTCTTCAGCCCAACGATTGGGGGGGAGTGGGGGACAGTCATGACATCCAGGTGAAAACACAGCTGTGTGCTAATGACAAGATAAATGTTGCGTTGTCGTACACAGAACACATAATGCCTTACCAAAGTATCTAGACCCTTTACAAATTCACACATTTTACTAGAAGCCAAAATGCATTGATGTTTATTTCTATCTTAAAGCTTAATTTAAAGTAATGATACTCATAATGAATTATGTCAGCGTGTTTTAAATGACAAACTATAAAAAATTTTACTGAAATAAATATTTAGACCAGGCCTGCCCAATTCCGGTCCTGGAGGGCCAGAATCCAACACAGTTTGCAGATTTCCTTGCTCAAACACATCTTAATCAGCTAATTAAGTTTAGTAGGTGTGTTTGAGCAGGAAATTTGCAAACTGTGGTGGATTCTGGCCCTCCAGGACCGGAATTGGGCAGGCCTGATTTAAAGCTTCATTATGGCAAACCCTAAGTTAGATGCAAAAAAAAAAAAAGAACCTTAACGAGTCATCAAATTACATGATTGGCCAATGCACACAATTAATGATCACAGATCTCAAGATAAACACATGTATATCTGCGAGAGTAATGATATCTGAAGCAAAGACATTATAATGACCAAGGAGTTTTGCACAGCAGTCTACTCTGTCATCAAGAAATGGAAGAAGCATTATAGAACATTAGTAAGAAGCATTATAGAAGCTGCCCGGCCCTGACCATCCTGCCAGTGCATCAGGGCAAGAAGGAAACTGATAAGAGATGCCACACCTCTGAGCTGCAGAGTAGAGTCTCTGTGATGGGAGAGAATGTGCATCTGGCAACGATTTCCAGAAGATTCCTTAAAAAGGTTTATATAGCAGGTTTCCAAGAAGGAAGCCATCGCTTAAAAACATGTATCAAAGCTCACTTAGAGTTTGCAGCGGCCAAAAAAAAACCCAGCAAAAGACCCTGGTTAGGTGACTCACAAAGTGTTATCTTTGCTGCAGATCCAACACAGCAAAACAGCAGGTAAAAGCATCCTTAGGGTAAAGCCTGGTATTGGCAGCGGACGCTATGGGATGCTTTTCAATAGCAGGGACTGGAAAAGCCTGCGACGACTGAAGGAAGAATGGACGATGCAAAATACTACAGAGAAAACATGCTGGAAAAGACTTAAAATCAATGTTTCATGTCCCAGCAAGACATGCAGACAACGATCTTAAGCACAAGCTCCAAGCTACAGTGAGCCAAAGTCCGGATCTCGATACAATTGTGACTGTGTGGTGAGACTGGAAAAGTGCTGCTCACACACAACTGGATAGAGCTCAAACTGGTTTGCTAGCAGGAATGGGCTACGATTCACATGGTAGGTACTTACCCTGGAATACCTGAATACTTATCCAAACTGCATATTTGTTAAATGTAACATCAAGCACAATATATCACATGTAATTAAATACACCCAGTTAGATGTGTGACTTGATCAAGGGTCTAAATAATTTTGCAAAGTGCTGTTCATAATTTGCGCAGGGGATTTAAAGTATATTATGAAAAGTTATTAATGCAAATAAAATTGTGATACACATAACTTCTGTCAATCCCATGCCACAGTCCACCTGAATAAGTACTTTTCCCACTTGTTGCTATTCAGTGCTAGTCAGTGCACTTTAACTGGTTGCATTGTACAGCTTATGTTTGTACATGGTTTATTTTTTTCTCTAACTTTTTGATTGTCATTATTGTTGACACCTGCACCAACAGAAATTCATTGAACTGATTCTGATTCTTAATTTTCTAATTTTTATATTAATGTTATGTAATTATGAGGAAAGTGTTGCCTGATGTCTCACAGAGTCAGAGTCAATGTGCTGGCTTTGCTCGGAGTTTAGAAGCACTCAGAGGTTTTTCATAATAACAAATTCAATGCCTAGAAAACCGGGTTTCTGTTGCAAAACACTTTACATCCATGTGCATGAAATGCACGTGATTTTTTTAATAATAATAAAAAAAAATTACGTTATGCTCAGCTATTTTATCGAGATTGGAATCTCATGGCAGAAAAGGAGAATTAAAAAAGACCTGATTATGGTGTAAAGTGTGAGAAATGCAGCTACGATAGCATTTGCTTCTGAGACAAAATGCCATGTGTGCATAGCTTTGCTGTTTGAAGCCTGGTCTGTTACAGCTAATGGCAAATTTATTCCTGTCCTCCTAGAGAACAGACTGCCAGTCCCTAAGGGCTCGATAACGCAGAGTTTTTCTGTAACAAGTAGTGTTCAAGCCAGAATAAAAAAAAGAAATGGAAGTCTGCCTTTTAAAAATATGGGGGAAACTGGATTCCAGACCCCGGTGGTTTAATAGAAGGCCAAAAAGTCATCGATTGCTTTCTACACGCCTTGTGGTTTGAGCAAGCTGATGGGGCCATTTTGTCTGTACCAGCTAGCTGTCACCGACTGGATGATAATGAACGAGGTGTTTGCTTGGTGAAGAAAGCTGGACATCAACCCGCTTGCCTTTACTGTCATCTTCCACTTAGGGGTGCGAAAACCGTCTAGAAGTGTTTCCTGGCCTTTTCTTCAGGCCACAACAGGTGATCCTGGTGTCATATGGCGAGAAGAGCCTCAGGCGGCTGTGGTCAGTAATACCGGAAAGGACGACAAATGTACTGCCAGGTATTTTACTGAATATGGATGAGTCACTAAATCTCTGGTCTATCTGTTTAATGGTAGGGGTTCATGTGATAATGGAGCATGTGTTGAACTAACATCTATTATGATGCATTAAGATTCATTTTTATTTTGGGGAAGTCTGACACCCCTGATTCTGTGTGTGTTGTGTTCATGTTCTTCCTGTGCTCATCCACATCTCCTATGGGTAACTCCACTTTCCTCCTATAGTCCAGAAAGCACATGTTTTGGTGTTTTTGTCGTGTCTGTAGTGCCGCTCTTTGGATGGGCTGTGTGTGCTCTGTGATGGACTGGCATCCTGTCCAGGATCTCCCATGCCTCATGCTAATTTCTTCTAGACGTACTATGACCCTGTACTGGATATAGTTATAAAGCAGTGTTTCCTAATCCGGTTCTTGGGGACCCACAGCCGGTCCATGTTTTTGCTCCCTCCGAGCTCCCTGTCTCACCTCGTTTCTTGGGGACCCACAGCCGGTCCATGTTTTTGCTCCCTCCGAGCTCCCTGTCTCACCTCGGTCCTTGGGGACCCACAGCCGGTCCATGTTTTTGCTCCCTCCGAGCTCCCTGTCTCACCTCGTTCCTTGGGGACCCTATCTGTGGGTCCCCAAAGACCGGATGGGGAAACACTGATACAAGAGGAACTAAATAACTGTCACCCTCTATTTTGACCTCCCTTACATAAATTCTACTTCATTTGCTTCAGCTAATATGTACATTATCACCTTCTGGTTTTATGTTCTTGCAGCTGCTTATTGCCACATTTTTTGTCAAGGAGGTCATTTCATCGTAATTTATGGTTGACTGTGATGGGCAAGCAAAAGGACCAATGAGGGAGCTTGTTTTGCAGGTTGGTGGAGTACTAGTGGCCGGCAAGACCCGAGCAGGAGCAGGGACACTGACGGAATGGATGGGTGACAAAAATCATGTGTGTTTTGCTGCTATTATTGCTATTTCAGGCGAACATATAGAAACGTCTTCCCTTTTTAATGTTTGCTTTCATGTTCGTTTTTAGAGCAGTTGTCTAGATGCCGGCAGAAGGAGTATGTTGCAGTCCTTTTGTGAATGGCAGATGGCGATCGCTTCAGCAGTACGTACACTGAAGAGATGCTGGACTTAGCTTTGCCCTCTGCTGGGTAATAAGCTGTAGAAGGATGGTCGTCCACATAGTTACTGCAGAGATTCCTGTTTGCGACCAAATGGCTGTTTTGTTGACACAAACACAGAAATTCCAGAAAAAAAAAACACAATTCTGCAGACAAAATTAAGACATGTCGTAATATTTGGAGGGATCTGTTTTCCTCTGTATATTTGAATTGTGTATTTGCGTAGCAAAACATAATGTTGAATCTCCTTGGAGGCTATTTGTTTCAGTTTATTATTTTTCCCTGCAAAGACGCCAAACAAACGGGATCAGATATTGAGTCTTTTCTCTTATCTGCTGCATATTCCATAGGGCTTAAGTTCCAAATGGAGAAAATTATTTCAGACAAGAATTTGCCAGGGAGTTTTTCTCATGGCTACGTCAAGGTGAAGACTAGTGTCAGTTATCGATCTCTGAAGGTACGCAGTGTGCGAGCCTGCTCCTTGGGTCCTTGGACAAGGGGAACCAATCAATCAGAAAGCTGTAATTTCAGACTCTCAGTGAATTTGAAATACTAAGGGAACTTTATTGGCAGGCACTTGGACACACTCTCTGTGGGGGTCTCATAGTCCTTTTAGGAAAATCCGTCCATCTTTCCATGTTATTTTTTCTTTGTGTGTAGGTTAAAATTCTGTATAACATAAGTTTTCTGTAATGCAGTTTCATTGCATGTTTTCCTTCCATTTTAATACACCTGATAAATATTCTAAAGAACTGGAATTAGAATTGGCCAAAGTAGTGAAATCAGGGAAATATTTCATTTTGAGACCCGAAATGCTTAGCTAGCACAAAGACCTGAACACACCAGGGCTGCAAACGTACACAAACACACCAGCACAGTCTCTTTGTTGTTCTTCTGCATTTTATTCCAGGTTGTAAAGCATCCAGGCAAAGATTTAACATGTTTGTAGTCATCAGAATTACTCATAGAATAAATATAATGTACAAATCAAAAGAGATCCATGACTAATGTGCTGATAGGTTACTTAAAATAATTTATTTAATCCAAGCAGTGTTAATTATTGCAAAATTAATATATTGTTGTAGTATTTGTGACACTTGCATGTGTCAATAAATGACTACAAAGCTTATATGCTCATATAATATATTAAGTCACGACAACAGTGGATATTTCAGAAAATTTCGTTATGATGACAAACGACGCCTCTGCGATTGGCTATAACCAGACGTCGGCGTTGCTGGTGGCTTCCGCGTGATCGCTAAAGACGCAGGATCTAGATCGCCGCCTGTACATGGTGCTGCCGGGATTCTTTCTCTTGATGATTCGCAGGTACATGTTAGACTGAAGGAACCTGGGGTAAGAGTCCTTTTTCATGAGGCTGAAGACTTTACTCTGTGCCACGTCGAAGCAGGACACCGTGGGGAGGCGGATGTTTTGCTGGATGGTCACCTTCGTCGGGTGGTCGATGTTTATCTGCAAGACGGGGTGGAGGGGAACGTCAGAGATCTGCTACACACCCAAAAGCTTGAAGTATGACTCAGGAGGTCATAGATGAGCCTTGCAGTTGGCACAATCATTCTGTTATATCATTCAGAAAATTGAAACTGCATATGGAATAAAGCTTTATTTCTTATCTGGAGCATGGAAATAATATGTTTTGAAAGAGCAAAATCTTTTTCTTTGGGCCATCCCATCATTAGCAGAGGTTATGTTTTAATGTTGCAATTATGTTTTCAGTAGAAGTATATACACATCTGTGATATTCTGTTAGAGCAGAGTTGAAGCAATTTGGCAGAGTAATTCACTGTTTGTTTATGCTGAATGCTGTCGATGAAGCAACCTTGCCTTTGTTGAGGGCTAATGCAAAAATGCATTAACTTTTAAGACTAGGCAGTTTCAGAGTGATTGCACAGGCAGGTTATTAATAGGACAATAGTTTCTGAAAGAGCGAACTAGTAACGTAAAGTCTTACCTCTTTTGGGGCATCTGCCTCAATGTACAAAGCGTATATCGTCTTGGCTTTGTTGAGGCGTTTACTATCAGAACGAGTACTCTTGTAGTCATTACATGCCAACCAGAACTGAATGTTCTCTTCACTAAATTCTGACTTCAGGAACTTGCTGAACATTTCCACTCCATCTGCATTGCAAAGGGCAAGATGCGGTGCGACCTTACTGTCAGCGCTGTTTAAATTTCCATAGATTTCCTTGCAAACTGTGCAACAAATAAATCCACAAAAGACTGGCAGAGAGTTTTGAGGTTAATGTTTACAATTCGCACCGAACAAACTGGAACGAGCAAGAGACAAATTGAATTTGCAATGATGTATTTTGTCTATTTTCCTGGATTTCTGAGTGGCGCTGAGATACAGCCATACAGAGGGCGTACATTATGAAGTCTCAAAGCATCACTTGATCTAAGATTTCTAATAACATTAATTTTAGATGCTTTATTGTATTATTTTCATGTTAACTGTAATCTTTACAAGTTAACTTCAGCTGTACTTTCTAAGTCTTTCATTAATCAAAGGATAAGAGGTTTGAGGTGATAAGTATTAACTGTATTTATATTACTTGTAGATTAGAAATGGTTGTGAATGTAGTAACTATGACTTTTATTGTACGTTCTTTAGAGGAAAAGGAATTACCTGAATGTCTTAGTAGTTCTTCAAAGGATTCACCCCATTGTAAAGCAGCTTCTGGAGAAACACTGTACAAAAAAAGCAAATGGACAAAATGGTGAATATGTTATGCTTATAAACACTCAGACTTTCCACTTAAATAGCTCTCATCCTGATAAACAGTATTTCCTGTGCTTCTGAGGTAAAGCTCTTTCCACTTAACAGTGACATTCAGCCGATGGCATCAGGAAGCACTGGATTCTCTCACCCTCTGTGTCATATCCAGATACCTTCTGTCGTTTAGCAAAAAAATCTAAATGGGAGCCACTTGCCTACAGTAACATGGGGATGTATAATAACAGAATATATACAGTCAGTTTTAAATCAGATCATGGCCAAACGCTATTGAATCAATATCAAAATAAGGCCAACGAAAAGGATTATGTTAATATTTGTACTGATTCAAGAACACAGGGCCACAAATAGAATTCCAGATACCAGTTTGGATCAGAGCAAAAACACTGATTTATGTTAAAGCTGAAGGGAGATTTGGAACAAACTTCTGAGCTTAAATTAATTTAGGTCAGCATCATAAACAAATGCTAAGTCATAAAACATCCAAAATTCGTGCAACGAAAAAACGATCGGCCTCTTCTTCATGGGTAACGCCACTTCTTATGCACTTATGTAGGTCGGACCTTTAATGTCTGCGCAGGCGAAACTGACCCAGCCTGCACATGCACAATTCAAAGTGTGCATTTGATAGCCAGACTGCGCAGATGTTGACTGCAGGATTGCATTTCTGTTTTCTAGCTAAACCTCTTGATGTGTTTGTTTGCATTTCATTTCCTCCTCTGAGGTGTTCTGGTGCATGCGATTATAGACCGAAAATGTCAGCAGTCATTATAAGATCACACTTTAGTGATGGCGTTCTCTGCCATAGTACTGATGCAAAAGCTGTACGGGGGCTACTCGTGACGTGTGTTCTTCGGAGGTGATTATGAGCCTCGGAATGGCCAAGAACGCCTCAGCCGGCAGTGCGGAGCCGCTTTCGTGCTGAGGACGTGCACACTTTCGGCCGCAGAGTCAGGCTTACTCGCTGTTCTTTGTGGTTGCCATTTTTTCAGGGCTGACATTTTCGTGAGAACCCGACTTCGTGAGTAGGCGGCTTATTCTGCTTTTCTTGTCTTTGTCGTCTTTCCTACAAGCACAAAAAAAAAAATCATAGCTTTCTATAAACCACACTCATGCTGCTTTCCTTATAGAAGCAATTAAAACATATATAGACTTTCTCCAAGTTGAACTAAGTGAAGGCAAAATAAAAGGAAGTTACTGAAAATTCATCAGTCTGCTTGACTTTGGACCATGGAGATTCCACGCTGCCATGAACAAAAGCTAATTTTCTCAAATCAGATAGAAATTCCTAACCAGCCCCTAAAAAATACGGTCACAAATGGGTGGACGACTGCAACATTTCGAAAACCTTCACACACATCATGCACATAAACATTCAGATATGGAGCATGCATTCATAGCTTAAACACTTTCAAATAATGTAATTTGCCTATTGCATTTTTACAGTCTTTAATAAATTCATATATTCTTCTAAAATCTGCTTAAGACAGGATGTAGAGGAGGTAGCTCAACATGTTCCTCCATTGCATCACATAGAATTTTTTCATTTGTGTATCTCACATTGCTCTTTTCTTGTGAAGTCTTTGCTCCAGCTGCTCAATAGTTCTGCCTTACTAACTCGTGACGGAGACGAAGTAAGAAAAACTAATACAAACATATCCGTGAATTCATGAAGCAAACATGGCGTATGGCTCATCGCCGTCTTGAAAGTTCATCATGCAGTACAGAAAATAGGAAGTTTCTCCGGCTCCTAGCACAGCAAAGCACTGCGCAAACATCAACTCATCTGGCAAACATACACACCGGTCGATCTGCGGCTTTATGTTCTATTAAAGGGTGCCAATGTGATTTATTCCGACTTACCTAGATCTGCTATCTTGCATTGTGGCGACTGGTAGATCCTTCGGACCGAGTATTTTGAAATATGCTTCCTCCTTCGGGGCAGAAAAATTCAATTGAGGAAATAGAAAAACAAAAGTCTCCATGGTCTTCCTAGTCCTTTTGCGGCACTTTTTGCTCTGACTGCTAATGATTTGTGTTTCCTCTTCATGGTAAAATGAGAATCCTTCGCTTTTAAAGGCACTTGGCGTTTCCCCTACCTGCAGCACAACTTCCTGCACTTGGAAATGTCATCACATTTACCAAATCTTCACAGATGAAGAATTTCCCACGAGACCAATGCCTTACTGACAACAGTAATTGGGTTGTATAATTTAAAAATTCTGTTTTACTTTGGACACAGATTGCACATAATCTTGACTTCTAGTTTTCTTCTGAATTAAAAAAAAAAAAACAAACAAAAACATGCAATTGATATTTTGTCCAACAGATTAATGGGACAACTAGCAAATCCTTCGCACTTCAGTGAGAATCAGTCCATTTACATTTCAAATCATACGGCAGAAAGTAATGTAGTGATGTGTTACTAAAAAAGGAAAGAGGACCTGTTTCATAGCTGTGTGACATGTTTTAGTTAATGGAGGTGTTTGGGAAAGTGTTAAAGGCCCTTATGTACTTTTAGAAAGCAAATATTATATATGTGACTCATTAATGATTTCAGCTGTCAGTCCCGGTGAAAACACAGCTTGACCCGTTTTTCATATAAGAATTTTTGCACCAACACGATAGAAAGAAGCAGATGTGCAACTTTTTAGTTTTATTTGCATTTTGTATGCGCAGTTATTAAGGTGCAGACCTAAATGTGCTATGTAGGCAAACCAGGTATATATATATATATATATATATATATATATATATATATATATATATATATATATATATATATATATATATATGGTATATATAAATGAGAAAAAAATGCCGATTCAGTTATTTTACTGACACTTCCGGCCATCAAACCTATATATATATATATATATATATATATATATATATACACACACACACACACACACACACACACACACACACACACACAGTATTTTTTCCTTGCGTATCTTGTTTTAAGGGCAATGTCCTGCCCGTGGATCATTGTGACTTTGTCAGGTGACGTTACAAAAATGCCACAATAAAGCAATTAGCGGTAAAGCTGATTTTTTGTCAGCGAATCTGTGTCCATGTAACGGTCAGATTAAGAACACAAAGAGTCATATTTAAAGCACAACAGTTTAGCTGCATAGTTACAAGCACGGATGATTATTATAATCACTGACTTTAATGTAGGTTGTTTTTGTTGTTGTGGATAGCACCCTTTCTGGCACACAGCAGCAGAAATGCTCATTAATAGATGTGGCGACACATTAAAAGCAACCTTGAAACAATAAGCATAATAACTGCTTTATGGGTAGAGAGCAAGGTGTTAGGATTGTATTGCTTTAACAAATAGTCTAGTAAATTGAAAATGTAATGTAGTGACTGGTTCAGAGAGATAACCAATCAGATTTTAGATGAGGTGCATCCCAGCAACTTGAGGAGGCAGCACCAACCAATCAGATGTTGTGGTCCTGCCTCCTCGAGTTGCTTGGATCCACCTGCTCAACAATATGATTGGTTATCGCTTTGAACTGATCATTTTTCGTTCTGCCCTCAGAACAATGTTGTGTTAGTAAATCTCTTAAGAGCTAAAGCTTCATTTATATTCCACGGATGTGAAGGGACTGTCTGAGAAGTTCCATTGCAGATTTTTGTAGATTCATTTTGATGGGGGGGTGTTTCTGGTCATTCTTCTGCTGTTTCACCTGGTCAGCTGGTATGCTCACTGCATCTGCAGTCATAGCTGGGGGTGCAGGCCTCACTCGTGTGATATAGAATAATGGAAGGGCCATCATTTTGAAATTCATTTTGAAATGTTCGTAACTTCCTCTTGTTAGCATTCATGCTATGTGATTTCGGTTTGCCTTAAGCAGACTCTGAATGAAAAGGCTAAAACACCAAAAAGAGCATTTAAGATCAATCACAGGAAGGGTTATGAATAACATTCTTTTTTTATTCATAGTCTTCACAACCTGTCACAACATTTCATTGTCATCCCCTTTTTGTTGGGAATGAATTGTAGCATCCATAAGCTAATGGAAAATGCGATGGCTTCATTGATACTGACACATTGAATGGCTCCTAATTTTAGATTACACAGTATCTGTGCTCTTGTAAAATTTGTACCAACGCCTGATGTGGCCCCTGGAGATGTGTGAAAGCACATCGTCAACAGTTGCAAAGATGGATGCCAAGGCCAATGATTATATAAGGAGATGGCTGGGCTTGCCTCAATGTCATATACTTTTAGAATTGTTCGGGACGAACGTGTTGCATAATTCTCCATGGGCTACAAGCAGGAGATAAGCAGACTGGTGTTAGAGCTACAGGAATCAGCAGACCAGTCTGTAGGGACTGTCGATACCCTAGTTGAAGACGTTGGTACCTGGAAAAGAGGCAGTGGTTAGCCAGTGTTTTGCTAGCTGAGATACACAGAAATTGTCAGTAGAACTCAACTAGGAAGAGCTGGCCTTCGATTTGGACAGTGATACCTCATTGGGGCACATTTGGCAATGGGGTGAGCTGACCACCAGAAAGGACCACAGGCAAAGATACGCTTCAAACCCCCCCACCAAGCCTGACACCCTGCCTCAGTGGCATGGCACTGAAGATAAATGCTCCTCTACTGATGCCCCCAGAGCAAACCTGCAGCATATTTTCCTTATTAGATCACCTAACCGCAAAGGGGGGGGGGGGGGGGAAGGAGTTCCAATGGCCCTAAAACAATTGGGAATTAACTGGACAGGTGGTGCCATGACCAGGCCCGATGGAAGCTGGTGGAGGTCCTGGAGACGTGCAGAGTCAAGGCAAACAAAGATCACCACCTCCCACAAGAACATCTCATTCTCTTTGAGAAGCAATGAGGTGTTGCAAAGGATCCCATGCTGCAAGAGCTGGAACAAACCCGGCTACCTGAAATGACTGGATGGTAAGAGCAGACTTCAGCCAGAAGCTGCCTTTCTTCACTGAAATCATCACTGATCTCCTTAAGGCCTGACTTTGCGGTATTGACTGTAATAGTTTAGAAAGTTATAATCATTGAGCTTACGATGCCATGAGAAGGATGGGAGGGGGCAAATGAAAAGATGAACAGCTGGGGGCTATTTGCAGGTGGGGGGGGGGGGATAGAGGGTGTCAGTTACCAAGTGGATGTGGCTTGCCGAGGCTTTGTGGGAACATCTGCTTAGCATCTAGTGAAGGACATTAGGGTATGAAGAGCTGATGCCGAAGAAGAGACTGAAGAAGGTGGATTGGGCAAACCTTGAGGAGCATGTAATTTATCAAAGGCATCAAAAGTAGCAGCAGACTGGTGCTGTAGTTTGATGTCTGCTGGTGTGAGGTCTGATCCCACCAGGTTGTCATGCATAGGCATGTTCCAGTTGCGGAAGTGAAGTTGGGGCGGATAGTGTCAAGAGAAGCAACCCAGGGAGTTGGAGTTTGATGGAAGGTGTGACATGAAAGAGGGAACTACTGCTATGATGAGGAAGAACCAACATGAACAGAAGGGAAGCATCGCATGTGCAGCTGCAGGATGTGGCAGGGACACCTGCACCAGTCAGGGGATGAGTACAGTAAGTGCTGAGTCATGGACGAGGACTGGCTGTTGGCTGATGACCTTAGAGTTGGATGGAGTCACTGGTGGAGCCGGGGCAGTAGGTATGACCTTTACCAGTGCTTCCAATTTTTAAGGAATGGCTTGCACATTTACTTCATTTTAAGGGTTTCTAAAGGTTGGATCTGGTTCATACAACAAATCACTGACTGCTTGGATGATACGTTGGTTTAGTAAGCACTGTAATGTCACACTTTCAGGGCTGTGGATTCGAACTGTGTCCTCAGCTCTGTGTGTCTGGACTTCCATGTTCCCCCTCTGCTTTCACAAGTTTCCTCTGGCTTCTCAAGTTTCCTCCCGCAGTCAAAAAGTACGATATTTAGATAAAGTGATGACTAATAAAGCTGCTCAGAGTGTGAGCCTAAGGGTCTGAGATTCTTAGAATAGGATTTGGGTTCACTGCATGTCTGTACTGGGCATGCAGTTATATGTGATGGTTGACTTTACTATCTAATTTTTTTCACCTGAAGTTCAAATGGTTACAAAAACCGCCAGTGATTAGATGTCTGCTGTATGGCGGCAGATCTCTCATGCACAATAAACATTTTAGAAAACAAAGTTCATGTATAAAGTGCCCGTCAGGCTCTTCAGGATATTGTTAACTTTCAACATGTAACCCTTCCAAATAATGTTGTTTTTACGCAAAAAAGACACTTAGAACAGAGCAACTGTAGGTAGGTGATTTAGCGTATCAGCTTATTTTCTCGTTAAACACAAAGCACTTTACAGTACCTGGTGCTTTTGTGTGGGAGCTTCCCCTTCGAAATTTACAAGACAGCCGTTGGCTTCCAGGAAGTGACTGTGCCTGAGAGATTCAGCACTGATAGCTAGCAGGCTGCATGCTGAACTGATGTGGCGGTTAGGGTTAACATGCACCATTTCAGCACACTCCAGGGTAATTCTAACACTGTTTGGGTTGCTCTCAAAAGTCCCATTCAATAGAAGAGCACTAGATGATGAAAGCAGACTGAAACCATTAAAGATGTGCCAAAGAATTGCACCCTAAGTCCAGAAATAGGTGAATCTTTCTTCCGAAGTTGTAAATGGGGAAGAAGGTGTCATAGAAAAATTAATTCATCATTTGCTATTATAAAATGTAATGTATTCCTTTTTTGAGAGAACTGCATTACATTAGAAGGGACATTTCACATTTTTAAGCTAGTGGGTAGTTGAGGATATGATGGTAGTTATCTTGTGGCTCATTCTATGAGCATAAAGATCGGCTTGATTAACGTTTCCT